ATGTGTATATCTCCAGCGAGAAAACGGTCAAGTTTGTCGCTGAGGTTCGCGTATTCAAGGACGTGATGTACGGCGACCGTCATCATGTCGATTTAACTAACCGAGATGATGGTAAGTGGTTACGCTTTGCGACCGAAGAAGTTGGAGAGCAAGACGACACGACCAGCATCTCGAGTGACGACGCATGGATATGGAAAGCATCCATGAGTCTAGCCAGAGCGTCGAACTTGACAACTCGGGGGGGGGCAGAGACTACTGTCAGTGCTACGGTTGCGTACGAAGCCTTTATGGCTGATAAGGATCGGTCGGCAGACGTCGATCCGAGGGACGAGGGCAAAGATAACGATAACCAGGACGTTGGTGAGAATCACCAGGATATGAGTGACCAGGCGGATGATTGTCATGATGATGACGAGTCATCTCGGTTAATTTTGGATCGGAGGTGGATCCAGCAGACGAAGGTTCGGTCGCCGATGCGACCGAGGTGGGCGAGGGCGTAAGCGATCTGACCGACAGCAGGGCCGAGAAGCCAATGATCATACGGAAAACGGCTGGAGCCAGGACTCGCCCGACGGTGACAAAGCCGGTGCTTGGTCGAAACCGATTGCCACGAAACGATCCGTGCTTGAGAAGGTCGTTCTGCCAGAAGTCTTGCGAAAGCGAGTGGAACGAGACGACACCCCGTCAGAAGCTAAGAAGAACCAGCATGGAGATCAAATGAAAGAACGTCGCACAAGCTTACGTCAAAGGACGCGCCGACCGGCTCGATTTGATGACTTTGTGCGACGAAAATATGGGGTCGTGCTGGTAGACCGATTGATGCCAAGAACATCAAGCTATGAGGTTTAAGTATGCGAATTACTGGCGAATGACTGAGCTGGAGGAAAGGGCCGCGTTTAAAAACAGGGAGGTGTTGAGACAGGTCAAGAGGACCGAGATGCCAAAGGATGTCAGAACCATGAAGACCAAGTGGATCTACGCAATCAAAACGGATGCGCAAGGCTTCGTTGTGAGATTCAAGGCGAGTGTCGTGGCGCTCAGAAACTATCAGAGACCAGTAATCGATTTTATGGAAATTTGTCGCCTGTCGCGAGAATGTCTTCGTTCCGGATCACGGCAGCCATATCAGCAGAGTTTGATCTAGTACTTTACGGTGGGGATATCAACACTGCGTATCTAAATGTGACGCTCGAGATCGCTCAGATTGTCGATGGGATCAAGGGGGGTATCCGTGTGAGGACCCGTCGTATGTCTACGTGGTGCGGAAGGCGCTGTATAGCTTGCGCCAATCTGGCCGTGAATGGAACTCGGAATCAATGGGTGGCTTTTGAACCGCGGATTTGAACGGTGTGTTTTGGAGCCCTGTCTCTACTACTTGATCGACGGAGAGAAAATTGTGATGCTATTGATCTACGTGGACGACGTGGTTTAGCCACGAATGATGAAAGTGCAAAATCGGGTTGTTTGTTGAGCTCGACAAGGCGTGTGGCCTGAAGGACCACGAGAGGCTGACTGAGGTTTTGAGTATTGAAGTGACCCAAACCGAGGAGGGCGTGTTCATCAGCCAAGAGAAATATGCAATGGACGTGTTGTACCAGCTCGGCTTTGACGGAGCGAACAAGTGTGGGAACCCCATGGAGTCCATCACGAGACTCGCACTAGCTACGAAGGACGACAGCTTTGACTCCAGCTTTGACTACCGGGATGCACTGGGCATGCTCCTGTATCTCGCGACCGGAACCAGGCTGGATCTGGCATTTGCACTCGGCCAGTTGTGAAGATTCGTTGTGAACCCGACTGTGAAGCATGCGACAACGCTCAACCGCGTCTTACGATATCTTGTAGGCACTCAGGCGCAAGGTATTATGTACAAAAACGGATCTGGGAACCGTATGAAGCTGACCATGAGCGAATTCTATGATAGTGATTGGGGAAGTGACCCCGAGACCAGGAAGAGCACGAGCGGGTTAATTTATATGCTGGCGAGTGGAGCGGTGACATGGATGTCCAAGCGTCAGTCAATTAGGGCTCAATCCACGGTTGAGACTGAATATGTGGCTGGATATGAAGCTGCTTTGGAAGCGAAAGCGCAGTTTGTTATCCTGTCAAAGATATTTCCGTCTATGCACGTGCGACCGGTCATTGGTATCGACAAAATTGCGGCACACGTGACGGCTACCAGCTTGACTTATTTGCGACGCACGCGTCACATCTAGCTGCGTTGGTACTTTGTGCGTGACCAGGTGCAGCGCGGTCTGATCACACTCGTGAAGGTAAAGGGAGAAGACAACCCGGCCGATGCGTTCACCAAGCCACTCGATAAGGTTCGACTAGCCAAGCTGTGTGGTATGATAGGGATGATGAACCAGCCGTATGACAATCAAAGCTGAGGCCTTCGAGGAAGGCGTGTTGGAAAGCGGATCCGAATACGCTTATCCGGATGGCCGTTGGCGGCTGATGTGGCATAAGGGGCCGCGGGGGGGGGTCTCTAGGTCTCAGGGGGGGTCTCGGTCCAGGTGCAGATTATATGAGCTAGGTGCAGGGAGAATGCCATAGCTCCAACACACCAGTTGCTCTTTCACCAAACACATTCCAGCATTTTTGAAAGGGCAAGACACGCTCAAAAAGCTTCTGTCAGACATTAGTTCTGAGGGAATAGCGCAAATGGCAATGGTTTATGATTCGTCCGTCTTAAACTCTTTTGATTTAAGATAGTAATGCTGTAAGGTGAACTGCGTGATAAAGCCTGAAAACTGTTACCAGCCATGAAAATGGTCTAGTGTGGCACATCTAGGGTTGTCGAAATCAAACCGCTGTTGGTGCACTTAAATTTTTACATAAACGCTTTTTCAGCTAATCTCCAGTCGTCGGAGGGAAGGGAAGGGGGAATATATTTCTCGGTAAAAAAGGTGAGGTTGCCATGTTACTTGGCCATGGACAAGATGGAGCCACAGTCTACGCGTTATTGACTAGCTTGCAGTACCTCTGCACAAGAAGCATTTCAGCATAGACTGTCTGGAAGAGACTGATGTCGTAAGCGCCCGCGAGCCTAAGCATGCGTCCCATGTGCGATCAAAATTTTCTACCCTTAAGAAAAAAGGCAACTGAAGTTTATGGTCAGGGGTTAAGCGCTCGAACTGCCGTCATAGGGCCGAAATTTTCTAGGGATAACAGCAGGGATTTCATATCAAAATAGCATATTCTTTCAGTCGCGGCATCCAACAATGACAGCAGAGAGACGATAAACCATATCTGCTCTGGTGCAACTTCCATCCATCTTATGCTGTGTCAATGAGTGCGGGTCACAGTTTTCTTGCCATGAAATCTAATTGCAAGGCGGGAAGTGGAGGTTCGCTAGGCGTTTCCGAGGCGATGGATCTGTGCCAATCTTGATAATCTAGTTGCTGCCGAGTAGCACCTGATATCTGTCGATATCAAATCGCTTACAATACCAGACACAGCGCCCAGAGTGCCTTCTTCTCTCCAGGCTGCGATCTATTTATATTCGAGTACCTTCGCGGGGTCGACAGAAAAGTTTGATAGTAAAAATATTGAATTCTAGCGGCCTACCTGAAAAACAACGTGTCTTGCATACCTCTTAAGAGCCAAGCCTACGCGAACCAGCCCTCAAAGATGCAATCTGATGAGTGAAACACGGCCAACGTAATTGATTGTCAGTATAGACATCTTGCGCTTTGTTAAAACCCAAACATTTTGGTACATTTAGGTATGTTGGTCAATTACAAACGACGTACAACTGTTCAGATCAGAGAACAATCCTCAAAGGCATCGAAGATACCAAATACGGGCGCAATTTATGTGGGCGTGCGATAAGATAATGTGTTGAAGTGTGGTATATTTGTTTGAGCAATTCTGATGCGGATCATTTAGCATTTCACGACAAGATGGCGTGAAATGCTGAATGATCCAATTTTGGGATTTGATACATGATCGTATCCGCGATGTTGCAATTTTTGAATGACATGAGTTATCGATCTTTTTGGAATTCAAAATGGTCGGGTTCATGGCTATTAATAAAATGAAGCTTTGGTTATGGCTTTAGATCGGTACCCTTGACATTGGAAAAAGAGCAGAGCTTTTCGTGCCCTTTGATCGAGTCCGTGATTAAGGAATCGTTATGAGCTCTAGATTTATAAAGTAAAACTGCTGGAAACCTATATCCCACGAGGATTTTCCAGTTTGTCGAAGAATACCTTGACGTGACGAAAAGAAATCCATCACGGATTTCACACTAGTCCAGGGCGAGCTTGACTAAATTGTACTTTTTTCTGTAGCGTAAGACTGTACCACACATCCGTGGTCATTACTTGATGTAAATTTATGATTTTTTTCTTTTGAGCCAAATTTTGAAGTGGCTTTTATCAGCGCCAACTTCCAAGGATGAACAGTCTGACTGCAAATAGCGATTATACATACTCATAAAAGCTCAGCTTAATTACTATCTACGTAGGACCTGCTGCATGCGGTCATTGTCGGTCGCACCTAGTACTGTGCTCTTGAGCTATTTGATTAATTGATATAAATGATCAAATCCGTGTATTGTAGTACAAGCAAATCGCTTTTATATTGACCGATGCCTGAGGAATAATACACGACGACTTTCAAGCGCAAGAATCTTCTTATGTAGAAAGATATTTCTAAATATTTTCGCTGTTGTCGTGCAGATAATGGGTAGCTGTCAAACAGCGATAAATACTTTCAATTAACAAACTTGTATGCTTTTAATCAAGCTTTTTGCCACAATAGGCTAATGTCTTTATCGCCAACAAAATCCTCTCATAGAGATGCTCCAGTGTCTGCAGATCGCGCGAAGCTCAAATTTATCCAAGATTGGCCAGTGCCTCTGCCCCAAGAAGCCTTCAGGAGGTGGATTGGCTCGATCATGGATTTGCACAGTTAAAGTGAAAACTACGCTGATATCGCTTGCCCTTTAATATGTCTGAAAAAAATGACAAGGACTATTGCAAATAGTTGTGAGGTATTGCGCAATGATCGCCTTACAGAAGATTTCTATCGACGCGCTTACAGAGCGCAATCGCAGGGCGGATGCATAAGTTCCAGCTCGCTCAAGTCGCGATGTTCAAGTACCCCTAACTTTTATTAAGCTACCCGCCGCTCCTATTTTTGCAGTGCCTCCAGGCTCGGTGAAGGAGAAGTCGTCAATACAATACGACTTTTATATCACCCTATCTACATTAGGTAGAAAAATTGAACAATTTATCTTGACAGGACTGAGCGACATGCGCCGTGCTTGCATCGCTACGGGCAAATACAGGCAAGGCTACATTGGGTAAAGCTCAACTTCCGATACAGTAGTATGGGACAGCGCTACATTGAACAATTCGCACTCATTGGCTATATTTACAAATTATTGTCTTGAGAAGAATTCGATCGCATGTTTTATCCAACGTATCCTGAACACTGCTGTATCATGTCCTGCTCGTTTGAGATACAGAGATGCTTAGTGACCTGCCGAAGTTGAATAAGCGTTTAAGCAACGCATGTTCACAAGATGCGTGCATCGCGAGAGCATACCACAAAAGACGCTTTAGTCGGACGTCTGATCCACTTGTTTTGGCTTGTAAGCTTTGAAATGGTCGGGTGACTTTCAACTTTACCCAAACGCACATAATTATAGTATACAGCTCTTCTTATCACTCACCAGTGCTCGGTACCAAAGGCATTACTTTCAAGGAGGGCTCAAATTTTCAACCAGCCGCTACAGCTGTAGCAGCAGATGAATCACCTAAAGAATGGTGCATCAGTGGCAGTTTCCGAGCCATCTGATTTAGCGGGAGATATGCAACGATAAAGTGTTCGGGACACGCCGAATGATGATCGATGGAGAAGAATCATAAGCAGAACGTTGCTTTACCTGCAACAATCGTTTTTTTATATATATCGTAATTTTCAATCAAGCCAACGGAAGTGATTGCTACTTTTGACCATTAAAAGCTACTAGAGCAAACTTTTTTTGATTCAAATGCTTTCTTGTTACCGACGTTGTCAGAAACGGATTTGATCCGCGCCACATAAGCGGGTGGGTTTGTTTGTAGCGCTGCTACAAGATCCCGTGAACAAGGAAGTTGAGAACTCGGACAAGAGCTTGTCGGCGCTTTGCTCGCACGGTAACACCGATATAGCCGAACGGCTAGCTGATGTCAGCCCCATCACTGCCCGTAAAGAAGTCGAGGACTTAGACTTAGTATCTTTCGACACGTTCACGATTCGTTGGCTGAAAGCCAAGACATGTAGAAGGAATAAGCAGACGGAAAAGGAAAAAGAAATGTTAAAAACATTGAGGCCGGAGACCTGGCTGTATTAAATGCTAAAAATCTTTCCAACACATTCAGTCTCTGCTGTTTTTCTGACAAAGCTCAGTACGCGATTTATTGGACCGTTTAAGGTCATGGCCAATCGAGGCCTTACGTATACGCTGAGCCTTCCGAGAAGGATGCGCACCCACCCGGGTTTTATCAGGGCTTGCTTAAGCGTGCCGGGATCCGGCGCAAGTGAAAACGGAAGAGTTGTCGCCGGGGCGGCGCTTAGCGGCGATTGGCCACCCAGAAGTTAAACCAGCAACTGCTCGGAGCTTGGGATGAAACAACATCTGTTTTCAACGGCGCAAGGCGCTCCACCGTTGCACGAAGTGATGTATTCGCCTTCTCGACGGTAAGGAGCCGCTCCGAAAGAGCGAGATAATCCTCAACGCGAGGTACTTGAGCACAAATGGCTCCAGGCTCTCGAGGTTTTTTGCACAGTGGTAACCTCGGCAAGATGCTCGGCCAAGTGCCGATGACGATGGACTTGTTCGCCAACGCTCCAAGAGCATAGCGAGTCACCGGACAGCGATCGACCAAGTTGTCATCGCCCGCAGCTATCTCTTCTCATTGGAAATGGTGGCACGTGGAACGCCTGTTGGGTCAAACTCCGATAACTCGCGGGAGTTTGTGGTGCCACTTCAGCATGACCGCCCAGACGTCGTGAGTGCTGATAATCAGAAGGGTAATGACGCTTCGTGTCGTCGTGAGCCCCGCACCTCGCGGCCGTAGCCCAGAAAGTCGAAGGGTAATGAGTCTGAACTCAAGCTATGGCCCTGAGCTGACGAGGTCATAACTTACCTGTGTGAGAAACCACAGAGCTCGCGGGAACGTGATGTTTTCTGTCATATTTGGCAGCGCGACAATACGCAGGAGTCCGGCGTTGTGCTTGAGTTTGGAAAACTCGAATCTAAAATGACGCTCTACGCGTACGACCACTTCCTCGTGGCTTCGCCTTAGGGTAGACAGCGAAGAAAGTTTCCGGTGCAGCTGCACCCATCGTTTAAGGAGCTGATCGTCATCTGGAGCGGTTTGTCAGGGGCGAACAGCACAGGAATGGTCTGCATTACGGGTACAGGAGCACCTCATTTTTGAGCTCGAAGTCAAGCGCTTTACCGATCCATTGAGATTTCTTGTTGTACCAAAAGCGAGCTCGGAGAGATTTTCCCTGATCAAGCTCAACTTGTGTAGTGGCTTGGGGCCCGACTATGTAGACGCCTAGCGATTGAGTTATCACACCTTTTGCAACAGTAGAGGGATCCGCCAAGCGGAATGCTATTCTCACGAGGGTCTCTGACTGAACGTGGATACGAGCGAATAAGTGCTGTCCTGTGGGCAGCCTACAACGGCTGCTTCTGTGCCGTGTTGAGGCGATTGGTAACAATAGCACTCCACCCAGACGTAGAGAGGCCGGGGAACGGACACGGCGTCCGCAAGGTTCAATTTGAGCTCACGTCGCGCCGTTAGCGCACCTCATCCTCTTCGTTTTACATGCTGGGAACGGAGTATTCGACCCGTTGTCGACTTCCTCCGAATCCTCGACTAAAATCAGTCGCTCGTGGCGGACGCGTTGTGTGACGCTCGGTTGCCGAGCGCTTGGAATGTGCTTCCTGTGAAGTCGCGGACGTACTGTCCGGAGATGCACCTCGTGCAGAAAAGAAGGAGAAAAAAAGGACTTGCCCGCGGGAGCCCTCGCATCCAGCTCGGCCAAGTGTTTTGTGAGTCATGGACACAAGGCTCATTGAGCGGAGAATGTTTAAGAATGTTCGGAAGGACGTAACGGTGCATCAGACACGCGAGCCTTTATAAGGCGACAGTTAAATGTAAATAGTGGGTATTTACAATTTTAATGAGGGAGACTATAACAGGGTACCACGTAGTCTTGTATGAAAGGGCGGGTCACACAAGATGGTGGGACCGTCTAAAGGTGTGGATTACACAAGTTGGTGCAATTCGAGAATAGTATGGCTACACCGTAACAAGAAGCCACTACGTGGCAGGACTGCCAGTAGTAATGCATATTGATTTGCTTTTTCCATTTAATCAGGAAAACCTTAGGTCATTTACGGCGGCTCTGTCGCAAATAAACAGATGATACAGTTTCAATTTTAAACGGAAGAGTCTCTTGACTTTGGTTAAGGTTTTAAGTAGTCTAAGAGAAATGGATTTTCGATCCCTACACTCGTACATGCTCTCGTCAAGAATGTAAGGTCAGTGGCCTAAGCTTAGCCTTCTCTTAGCAAAAGCTACGGCAGCCCCGTTGCAATACGTGGCTAAGAGCTGAGCTGGTATGTACTTAATTAAAAGAAGCAATTTCTTGTCGTGAAAATATACTTACTCTCTACAGCTTCACATGAGGGGCGCAACCGCAATAACCCATTCAATTTACTCAAAGTTAAGCCCAATCAAGACTATTGATGCTTCAAAGTCGACGTGAAATGCGCAATCCAAATCAAACATGGCCAAATAAAGGACTCGCACATTGTGTCACCTGCCGTCCAGCCTCAGATGATGGCTTTCTGTCAGCTCTGAAGACCACATCATCTATTGCACCTCGAAGCCATTGCATATTCTTGATTCGAATTGATGAGTCAATCCCAAGTCAACCAGGTAGCTGGTCAGGCGCCACGCCACTTTCATCATATGGCTTTTAGCCTCGTAGGATTTGCTTGAAGACCATGCTTTCCAATTAAGAAACCAAATACTTTTCAGCGCTAATGACACATTCAACTTCAATGGCATATCACATACTGGTGAGAACAGCTGGTTTATGCTTGATGCGAAAGACTGCATCTGACTTCCTTTATCAACGCGGCAATCAGATATTACATCAAGATCGATCTGTGCGTATACACGCTATGGCCTGTGTTGGAGATGACCCCGCTCCAGCTCATGACTTGTCAGCCATGATTTAATTATCTGGTATCAGCGTTACCGGTAT